TATTACGATATTAATAGAGAGAAAATAAGATATTTTTGAAATTGTAAATTCGTACGAATTTTCATAGCTTTCTAAAGAATACACGTCCGCAGAAAGAGATATCGAAAGGACAGAAGCATTATTACTGTCTTTCAGTTATATTTTACGACCTTGTTCGGATACTATATTAGCCTCTTCTTTCGGCCAAAGATTTCGCTTTTCTCCATAAAAGTCGGCTTTCTTCTCGTTTCGTATCGTACAAGAAGATACAATGTAATCTTTCACGTTATCATTTCCTATTGCACCGCATTTAGTTTCCTCCGCATTGTGAATGTAAAAGAAGAAGAAAATAAAAGACATTCAAAAGAGAAGAACAAAAAAAGTAGTTTCATAAAAACTGAATAGGAAAGATTGATGATTATTAAATTATCGTTAAATATGGAGGATGAATAGGAGCGTATTAATTTAATTTAATCGTGTAAAATTTTACATAAATGGCATTAAGAACTTTTACATACGTTGTAAATATTTTACTTATTTTATTTTAACTATAAAACCCGAATAGAGAAGATCGATGATTATTAAACTATGATTATTAAATATTAAAAACTTACGTACGTACGTTGTAAATATTTTATTGTTGTATTATTTGTTTTTATCTATTAAATGTTCCGAAATTCCGTATAACACACATTCAACACATAGAGACATATATATACACGCGTGTATAAATGCAACAAGAGAGAGAAAGAGAGAGAAAGGAATAAATACACGCGAGTAGTAGAATGACAGACCGAGTCAGACATGCGCCCTCAAAGTGGGAATCGCGGCAGTGAAAGAGCTCGAGAGCAAAACCCACGTTTCAGTTTGTCGCGTGTGCTGGCACGGCGCGCATATCGTTCGACCAAACTCGATAAACAATGTCACGGAGAACGTCGAACGTTTTTTCGACAAGAAGAAACGCATGCGACTCGGTCGTTTCCTCTCACGAGAACGCGTCGTCCGATGCGCCCCGTTTCACGTGAATCTCCATAAAGAGAAAAAGATGAATCCGTCGTCGAGGGGAACAGAAGGGTCAGATCGAACGACACACGAATCCCAATACCGGCAGCACCACCTTCACTTTTACCAGATTTATATGGAGAACGCTTCGGTCAATTCATTGGCGCGAAATGCCTCATCGCGAACAATAATTCATCGTTTCTGGAATTCCAACTTTGTAATTTAATCATCGTTGGAGTTGGACTCCTTCGACTAAATCGTTTTGATCTACTGCCACCGGTTTCCTTATATCCGTGTTATGGTGGAGTGTGCCTGAAGTAATATCTTTTCGATCATTTACGTGGGAACAAGCAAAAGCGAATCGTAGCCGATACACGGAGAAGCATTGTGTTCGCGGCTCTCAATCAGCTGTTCGTGCGGTTGCATCTCAACTAGATGGATCACGTGAATGCTGTTCACTCCATCTTCTCAGACTAACAAGATCTCTCTCTCTATCTTTATCTCTCTCTTTCTCTCTCTCTCTTTCTCTCCATGGAAGATCTAGTTTATCATGGCATTTAATATTGTTTAGTGTAAAATATTGTTCATATATCTGATCGTTTTCGAACCGTTGTTTGCTCAAAATCGACGTTGAATGAAAAAAAAAAAAAA